CAAAAAAAACCCTTTAAAAAGGATTTTAAAAGGGCCAAAAGTTTTTTTTCGGGCCCTCATCACAAGCTCTTAAACCCAAACCCCGAGATGGTCCCCGACCAGATGCCCACACTGAAAGGGCGTAGAGGCACTTGGGAAGGTGAGAGCTTGAACCCCCCATACCAAGTCCAGTAATTAAAAAGGATCTTTGGGACCAAAAAGATAGGTCAGGCGGAAATGAACAGTGTATATAGTCTATTTTTCTTAAAAAGCTGCAATATCACAACATTTGAAGTATTTTTATTTGTCAGAAATTTACACTGAAGGGGGAATTTAGTATAGATGCCAAATTAGTAAAGCTTCCCACCCGGGAAAAGGTAAATACACTTTTCTAAGATACGAAAAATATTTAAAAAAAAATATAGGCAATCCCTGAATAAACCTGGATTCATTGGTGTAAAAATACTTTTAAAATTTAAAAATATTTGCAATATTTCTCCGAGTTATTTTGCTAAATTTCCATTTATTTTTATTATTATTATTAAAGTTACCGAAAATCCCGGCCCGGGCCCTTTTTTCCAAGTTGGGTCCCTTCTTGGGAGTGCGAGACCTAAGTCTCCCATGGGAGGAGGCAAAATTACCCCTCATCTTTGGGACCAACAGCCCCCCAGGCCTAGCCACAACTGGGCCTCCGGTCTGCATCCCCCCGCCCCTAGGGGGTTAATGGAATGACAGCTAGTGAGCTCAAGCTCGGGCTCGGAAACCACCCTCCCTAAGAAAGTAAGAAAATTTATTCAGGTATACACAAAAAAATTTACAAGAAAATCATACATAGCAGCAAGTGTAAGAACCTAGGCAGGGGGCATGGTGCGACGAATTTCCATTTGAAGACAAAGAACAAAAAGACCACCTTTTCCCTTTGAAAAAAAAACTGAATGTTTTTTCCATTAGCTCCCTCCTAGGAACAAAATAATTCTTTTTGGTAAAGTTCTCCTGACAAAAAGACTGAACCGGGAAATTTTTGGGAAAATCCCATTTTAATACATGTTTCTACAGCAAATTATAGCTATTTAGAACGGCCCAAAAAAAAATTTTAATATAAACAGACTTCCTGTGGCCGCGGCTAAAATGGGTTTTTTGTAAAGTTTTACACCCAAAAACTTTTTCCCCTTCTACTTCTCGCCTCTTTCTAAAAAAACCCGTGTAATATACAGGGGAAACATTGAAATCACTTACATTACATAAAAAAGCCAGAAATATTGCGATTTTTTTTTTTTTTTGAATTAGGCGCGCGAACGTTTACTCTAATTCTCGAAAATAATATTTTTCGTCTATTTCTGTGGGAAAGCCTTATTAATAATTTAATTTCAAATTTTCACGGGAAACTAAAAAAAGAGTGTAGGGATCTTATGCTGGCTTTCAAATGATCCGAGCAGAGCGACAGTTGTACACACAAAAAAAAAAGTGGTATCAAAACTTGAGTACAAGCGCAAAAGTCCTTACCAGCCTTTCCTTCCCCCTTTCCCCGGGAGTGCAGTAATCTCGAGGAAGAAGTAGATAGTCTTGGGTATAACGGGTACTGCCACAACATCCACTTCAGCACACGCAAGCGAGTCCTGAGAAAAAAACTTCTATTTAGAGGAATGAATACCTGGTATCCATTAAAGGTCGGGTACCTAGATGGTACTCCAGTAAATCCCGATAATGCCTGAGTAATATTGCCAGTAGTGTGTTTATAATGCTTCAATAAAATAAAAATTGTTCAGTAGTGTTTACAAGCCTCACTTGTTGATGCTCTGTAGGGTATACAGAGGCAACAGCGCGGATGCCCCCCACGTGGTATCTATATAGGCGTCCTTCAGCCTAGCCAGCATAGTTTTTTTCACACCCAAACATAACCACAGTCGTCCAGAAGTGTCGCGCCCCCAGGGAGAAGAAGCTGTGGACAATGAACAGAAAACTTCCTAGTAACCTAAACATACAGTGATAAAAAAATATGAGAATAAATTTCAATGAGCAAGAGCAACGAGAATTATAGGTAAACATTTGAAAGATTATTCCCCGTAGTACAATATTTTTGTTTTAAAAGTGAGCACATATGTGTTTACCTAGCTGTGTATACAGAGTTGAGATCCTAATTTTGAATTCGGTTTAAAGGGAAGGTGATGTGGGAATTTTATTAGATAAAAATCTAATGAAGTTGGTTGGGTTTACAGCTTGTTAGGAGAAACAGATGTTGGTGTTACACGTGTGCTTATGTGGGGGTAAAAAAGTATGGGTAAGAAAAGATTTCCCTTAATTTTGCATATAATACCCGCCTCTAATTGGAGAACAAATTATCAGAGGTGGAACGTTTCTCTCAGCCCCTTGATTGCCAGCATTTTTTTTTTTTTGTGGAAAATTTGAACCCGGGCTGAATTTCTTCCTCAGTTTTTAAAAATCAAATGAATATCTCCCAATACTGTTGACTTGCCCTTAAAAGCATTTCTTTTAATACCTTCCTTTTTATTCTAATGTACTATATTTTATAACATTTAATTTTTGATGTCTTAAACCATAGATATCGCCCCTGTTCCCTTTCCCTCACGGTCCCTAATTCTTCTTCCCCTCCTTCCTCCCTCTGGTTCTTACACTCAATACCAACGATCCTGAAATAAGCCCGTCATGGCGATATGTATCAGGACACCTGAAAACATTGTATCTGACAGACACACTTGATAAATATAACAAGGCCAATTACTAATAAGGGAAACAATTAAAGTGGTTTGTCTTAGGCGCTTTGATCGCCTTGATTCCTGGGAGTTCAGCACATCTTGTTCTCTCTCAAATGATAGTACCCACAATAAAACCAAACGATCAGATGACTATACAACGGCACCTCTACCTGACCCCACCGGACTTTGACCCCACCTAACCTCACTGCTTATTTTGTTTTCTGTATGTTCGTATCTTCTCATGCTGTTTTTTGGGGCTGAAAATGTCCCCAGTGAGCAAAACGTTTCCCAATAAATGTCCTAGGCTGTATTGTCCGTTTGTTTCTAAACCATTTCCATTTGTTCGTCTTCCTAACGTCAGTAACGCTTCTGTTCCTTTTCCTCTCATTTCCCACTTTGTTCCTCTTCTTCCGTCAGTACCACTCCCTTTGTTCCTATGGAAAATTTTCTAGGGTGTTTACCTGTATGTACCCAACATTATATACATACCATAATCTCATTGGGAGACATCATTTTTTTTTAAAACCGTAGTCACCCCGTGTAGACATGTGAGAAAACTTAACCACCCCTGGTCGCACCAAGTGGTCCCCTCGACCTCACAATCTTATCCATATCTATCCGAGACCATATGGATTGGGTAGCACCCACAATACGGTGCTACTAATTAATTGTGGACTGTATAGATTATTTTAAAGTTTAGCTGAATGAAGGGGAGGGGGTAGGATACACCTGGATACATCCGTCAAGGAAAACATTTGTACATAATCCCAATACTTACCAGATGTTCTCTGGTGGTCACTTGATGTAGCTGGATCACTCGTAACCTATCTAATTATAACTACCACTACTGGCCAGTCTAAGGTTGCTATAACTAGAAGGGTTACTTAACTGTGGGTGATTGATATTCCTCATTTCTTGATTCACCATCTCATTTTCGATGTCCTGCTACACCGACACGATTCTCATTCCAGCAGGACGAGGATCCGGGTTTGTCCTGCTTTAGACATCGTGACTCAAGGAGTTTCCCTTTCCTCGTCTCGTTAACAACGAGGTCTAGCGTGTCACTGGGAGCAAACGACTTATTTCACTTCACATATTCTCTTAACTTAGCGTTATTATCATTAATTACATTACAATTCACAAGCCGATTTAACGTCTCATACTATTATACAAACTAGAGGTCACTCCATTAAGATCTGAGACCGATGAGTGATGATTAATCCAAGGTAATTTTTCCCAGGACACAGTCCTTTGTGGCGCGTCAGTCACCCGCTCCTTCTCTTATCACACTTTTAACCACTCTATTACTGTGGCCCCTTAAATCCCGTTCCCTCACTCTCCACCAGAACAATTACGACACTTCTTTTTATGAAATGAGGCCTATTTTAATCCTTAGGCCACCGTGAACGTCAATTTCGGGGTTCCATGTTTTCTCAGCTTCCCCCACCACCATTCAAAACAAACGCGCTCTCCCCCTCCCGCACATCCGCGCATGCGAAAAGGGGAACTCTTGGTTCTACTCTTATTTTCAAATACATTTTTGACCCATATAGACACATCAAACACCTATCAGGCACTATAGTTTCGGAAAATTAAAAAATTTTCCACACTGCGGCCGGGCGGAGGTCGTTGCTAGACGACTTACATAATGTGGAGTACAATTTTTTTCCCATCTTCACTGGCCACCCATATTTATTGAACCCTCAAAATGGACTAATTAGTGTTCCATTCTCTCAGGGGCATAAGCCTATGCTCCCTGGATTAATTTATTGGACATACTGGAATTTTGAGACTTTAACAATAACAAGTCTCTCAGTATCCCAAGTCAGTCCCAGCACATTTCTTCATTATTTCATTAACCCCTTCACATATCCTCATTAGTTCCTCTTCAGTTGACGTCACACCCGGAAATTGTCCACATAGATTTTTTCCCCAATTACTTCGCTCAGTGGACCGCCTGTGCACTAAGGTGTGCATTTATCGTCGCCTGAAGTAAGAACAATTTATTATTTAACTGCTTATTAATTATATCATTATAAGCAGTCAACAATTTTGGTGTCTTGCTCAGTTCGCAAAAGCTGGGTCCTTTAACTGTCCATACGCCATCCTATAATTAGTGGGTAATTCTGGACGGTCAAGCTTCCACGGAAGTCGCACCCAGTAATGTCCAGATTCACATTTAACATCCTTCAGTATTGTTCCTGAGTAAGGAATCATTTGGACTTTCCTCATTTACATTAATCCCTATGCTGTCCAGCCCCCACAAATTAGCTGGTTCAACATCATTCTCGATAGAAGAATACTTGTACTGGGTTACCTTTTCATGGAGTAAGACACCGTGACCGTATTCACTACTTCCTCTAGTCATTATTACTAGGCGGTAGTCTGCCATATATTACATGGCCCGTACCAGTGTTGAGGAGAGTGACGCCGTATGGTTTTTGGATTTATGCCCTTTTTTCCTGAATTTTTACATCCAACACCGGCAAGGCTACCTCAGCTAGGCCATCATATTGCCATTAGCTGCAACCTTTACATCAGTCACTGTAGTGTCAGGGTTATTAACATTATCATTATTGTCACCATTATTATAAGAATCACATACAACCCTGCACATAACTGTATGGTGCTTTCCCTTGTTGCATTGATAGCAACTGTTCAATTTGTATGACAATCCTTACATTATGATTGTCTAGACCATCTGATAAATCTGTCAAGTTCTTTCATTCTTTCCACTTTTAAAGTCCCATGAATTACAGCATTACAATTTTTAGTGAAATGAGTACCCCTGGCAGAAGAGGCAGTCTCTCTTTTCCTTGCCTGACCTCTTTTTTAACCGGGTTACACTTACCGAGGTACTTATTCCTCTTACCTTGATGTGAGGAACCACATTACTGATTCCTGGGCTTGATATGTGCCCATTTAACCCCTTAACTATGATTATTACCACTGGGATTAATTTTCCCTTTGAGACTTGACAGATACTTCAGCGTCATTTTGTGTTTTTGTCCTTGAACTGTTTTGGGTGGCTGGTCTGCAATTGAACAATTAATTCCTGCCGACCTAGTCTGATTTCCTCCAGACCGTACTATGGAGGTTTTGGCAAACCCACCCTTTGCATTAATAGTTGATCAACTGCCTGGCTTACACCCTTTAATTTATTCAAAGCCTTACTTTTACAAGACGTTTTTTTCCAATTGTAATGTTGATTAATTAAAACATTCATTTCCATTCTATCTGCACAATTCTCCAGCAGATCTCTTTCACAGTCTTTAAACCCCCAATTTGTACCAATCAAATCTACTCTCTAAAGCATCTAAATATAACTTTAATTTTATTAGGGTTCACGGTTCTTTGATTCACTAAATCAAATGCCTTCGTCACATGGCTTTTTAAAACCTGTAATGATGCTTTCATTACTCTAAAATTCACGGACTTGTCAGCCACATTAACTCCATTAGATCCAGTCATGGTTAGAGAATTATTAATCACTGATTATACAACTTAAGTAGGCGCCTATAAGAGTAATTCTTGCACTTTACTCTTGTATAAATCCTAGCCAACATGTGCTAGCAATTAATTGGGCTAATTGTCATCCCCTCACACGATCGATTAAACTTGTGCACCCTACACCCACTTCCTTCAATCAGTCCACTTAATTATTAAGTAATTAATTCAATTAAATTTTTCACTGATTGCATCCGTTTTCGAAGGACCAACGGGGAGATATGGAAAATTTTTTAGGGGTTTACCTGTATGTACCTCAACATTATATACATACCAGTAATCTCATTGGGAGACAATCATATTGTTTACCGTAGTCACCCCGTGTAGACATGTGGGGAAAACTTAACCACCCCTGGTCGCACCAATGGTCCCCTCGACCTCACAATCTTATCCATATCTATCCGAGACCAGTATGGAAATTGGTAGCACCCACAAGTACGGGGCTACTAATTAATTGTGGACTGTATAGATTATATTAGTTAGCTGAATGAAGGGGAGGGGGGTAGGGTACACTGGATACATCCGTCAAGGAAAACATTTGTACATAATCCCAATACTTACCAGATGTTCTCTGGTGGTCACTTGATGTAGCTGGGTCACTCGTAACCTATCTAATTATAACAACCACTACTGGCCAGTCTAAGGTTGCTATAACTAGAAGGGTTACTTAACTGTGGGTGATTGATATTTCCCCATTTCTTGATTCACCCCTCTCATTTTCGATGTCCTGCTACACCGACACGATTCTCATTCCAGCAGGACGAGGTATCCGCTGGTTGTCCTGCTTTAGACATCGTGACTCAAGGAGTTTCCCTTTCCTCGTCTCGTTAACAACGAGGTCTAGCGTGTTCACTCGGAGCAAACGACTATTTCACTTCCATATTCTCTTAACTTAGCGTTATTATCATTTAATTACATTACAATTCACAAGCCGATTTAACGCTCATAACTATTATACAAACTAGAGGCACTCCATTAAGATCTGAACCGATGAGTGATGATTAATCCAAAGGGGAATTTTTTCCCAGGACACAGTTCCATTGTGGCGCGTCAGTCACCCGCTCCTTCTCTTATCACACTTTTACCACTCTATTACTGTGGCCCCGTAAATCCCGTTCCCTCACTCTCCACCAGGAACAATTACGACACTTCTTATTATGAAATGAGGCCTATATTAATCCTTAGGCCACCGTGAACGTCAATTTCGTGGTTCCATGTTTTCTCAGCTTCCTCACCACCATTCAAAACAATACGCGCTCTCCCCCTCCCGCACATCCGCGCATGCGCAAAGGGAACTCTTGGTTCTACTCTTATTTTCAAATACATTTTTGACCCATATAGACACATCAAACACCTATCAGGCACTATAGTTTCGGAAAATTAAAAAATTTTCCACAGTTCCTATATTTCTGTCACCATCTTCCTCTGTTCCTCATACATCGTCTTTACAACTACCTCTGTTTCTCTATTGCTGTCCCTACCTCCCTTTTGCTTTTTCCTCCGTTACTATCACTACATCTGCTTTTCTGTGCCTATCACTCTGTCTCCTCTCTCATCGCTGCATTTCTTATTTACTCATTTATCACTGTTTTTAACTGCTTCAGCATTACTTCACATTTCTTTCCCCTTTTTTTTAGGTTTGTAATGGGATAGGGTGTGACAGGTATGCTACATGAATTTGGTGGTAGCTGTGACCGGTGTAAATATTGAATAGTTGGGACGTGTTTCTGACAGGAGTGAATTTATCATGGGGGTGTCGATTGGTATGGGTTTGTGTGGCGGTAATTGTGACAGGTGTGGGTTCGTGGTTTTCGTTGTGACAGATGTGGATTTTTTTATCGCGGTGGTTTACAAGTGGATAATTAATAACTAATATTTAATGTTGTACGTTTCACGACTTATGAACTGCATTTTGAATTACACATTGAAAGCCCCGAGGGAAAATAAGCATATACAAGAAAGAGAAACCCATATGTAAACAGAAACGGACAATATGGGATGCCATATATTTTTTTTATCCCTGATTTCCTCAGTAGGTCAAAGAAGAAAAAGATATTATGACTATGGCACAGAAAAGGTTCACGTCATGATTTCCTCTCTCCTCTTTACTGATGAAATCTCCTTTGGAGGTCGAAATATATAGTTAACTTTGTCTTCCTGTTTCACCCACATGTGGTTTCCTGCTTCTCACCAAAAGGAACATACGCTAAGAAATTACATACCACAGCCACTTGGGGAAAAATTTTAACATTCACTATAGACATTTGCCGGATACTCACATCATCTTTATAGCTGTGCAGGCATCATGAGCCCGGGGCACAATGAGAGCCAATGAGGTCATCAAGGCTCCAACCTGAGAGAAACACGAATTTGTTGTGTTACAAGGAGCGTATACTGGCTAGTTGGAAGCAATTCAACTAATGAATAGTCAAGTTAACTATTTTCTGGTGACGTTGCTTTTTCTCTCTCTACCAAGTTCTTTCAGTATACACCAATCTTCATATTAGTCATAAACCTAATTATTATAATTTTTTATATTTAACTGTAAGATCTTTAACAGACATTAACTATGCAGTCTCAGAACCTGAACAAAAAACTGTCTGGAAATGCAGAAAAAAAAAAATTAAATTTTTTAGTATTCTTTATCTTTCTCCTGACAGTCAGTAACCCAAACTAAAATGGCTAACCAGGGAGCTAACTTTCGAAAAGTGATTAATGAATTAAAAACCTTAGTGTTAGATGTAGCTTTTCTTAAAGAACGTTGTGTTTTCTGTAATTTAAACCAAGGAAAAAGCGAGGCTGACACTAACTAGAAATCTGTCCTATTTTAGGAATTAAATCTACTTGGTTCTCAGTTTTTTGTTCCCACCCCAGAATTTATTAATTAGTAAGACAATTTTCTTTGTACTATTAGATTCAGTTAAATTCATTTTATATATATAAATTTAACCTATCCCAGGATAACCTAGCATGGCAGCACAGATACCAGTAAAAATTGGCGTAGTAAAATTAAAAGGGCTGACATAGGCGGACAAGGAAATAGAAGGATGACTTCAGTGACTAGCCAGCTGGGTACTAAACTACTACACTACTACTACTACGTCTTAAGCTAGCGCATGTCCACAGGAATACACATAAATATCATAATTTTCAATGTATATTTTCACCTTGTAACAGCAAAAAAAGATCTATTTTTCTCACTATTTTTCAGTTTACATGTTACGAGGTTTATCACCCCACCTCGGCTAATTTCAAAGCCCAACTCAGTCTTAAATATTTTATATCATCGACCATGACGATTCCACTTGCAAAAATAGACTAATATCCAGTTACTTATTTATTGCAGGTGTTACTGATATTTTCTCATACACTTTGCCCTGTCTAGAAATCGAACCCGGAACTCTTCAGTTAGCTGAGTGGTCTTACCGGGTAGAAACAGGCTATCCAGTTAATGTGCCTGCGGTAGACAGTGTGGGTGTCCCGGTAGGTGAAAATGATGTGCTCACAGTAGAATATGAGGAAGGCCAGTGTGATGAGGCCACCCACTGTATGGACTGCTGTTGTATATTGCCCCAGAGCTGTATGAATAATATATATATATATATATATATATAATATTTATATATTATATATATATATATATATATATATATATATATATATATAATATATATATATATATATATATATATATATATATATATAATATATATATTTATAAATATTATTCTCAGTCAACAGCATGGAGTCGAACCTGTTGATTAAGCTAATGTAACAAAACTATTAATATTCAAATCATTATAAAGAAATGCAATATTATTCAACCAATTATTCTCAAAGTTAGCCAAATTTGCTGTTTTCTGAAAAAAAAATAGCTCAGAAACAAGATATATAAATATATGTCAGTAGGCGTGTAAGCCAGCAAAGGAAAGACTTTACCTGAAATATCGCCATTACAACAATAGTCCTCAAGGTGAAATAAGCTATGTACAAATGGTGGCTTCCATCATTATGCAACAGTGGTCATCACTGGTGATTGAAATCTTTCCCAGGATCGACAATTAAGACACTGGAGGTAACTGTCGCTGCTGTGAATATAAGTAATAAGAGTCGTGATCCGAGGATAGACCTTGAGATCCGGGCAAACGAAAATAATCTGGATAGGTACACGTTGCAAAACAAGCGTTAATTGCGAGAATGTGTCGTTCCGTGGGCTTTTTCAGATCGTATAGAGTTCTGCAACGTGTGTTTTTTCTTCGGTATTGCCGACAGCACACCATGCTGATCCACGAAAAGATTGTGCTAAGAAAAATACCCAGTAAACAGAACAATCTTTTACATCTTTTTAGAGGGCTTCAAAAAAAGTTCTATTTAACGAAACGGTGTCCAAATTAATGCTTGTTCTGCATAACTGTGACTGTCCATGTTCTTGAAGCCATACAAACATTCTCCTCATGTAAAGGGTGACGTCCCTCGTCGACCCAGCCAGCTGTTAATGGATTACATTGCGACTCTCCATTATTTTTTTAATCATGGGGGAGCGCTAAATCCGTAGGATTATACAGCGCCTGTGGGGAAGGGGATCAAGAGCCCCTCACCAGCATCAAGGAACCTCTCTTGAGGGGTGTGACTCTCCAAATACTGGAATTATTAAAACAGAGGAACTGTTGAATATGATGGCAGCTAGAAAGTGGTGAGGAGAATATTGCGACAACTTTCTTCTCAGCTAAAATAAGCTTCGTAAAAGTTACTGCAGCTCTTCTGGAAGGATATTAATAAAAGCCGCCGTAGCTACTCAGTCTATATTAGAATGCTTGAGGATATCTCATCGCCGAGCTCCGGCTGATTTATTATTGTATTGTATGAAAATCTATCCTGTATGATGGAGAATAAAAAAAAAAAAATTCCTGGGTAATAGATGCTAATTAAACATAGCTATTGGTCTAATTTTTGTTCAGATTAGCCGAAAAATGCGCTCGTACTCATTTTTTCAATAAAATACTCAATTACTCTTTTCCATCCATTAAATTCACTCTTTGCATCAGAACACATGAATATGAATGTCCATTTCTGGACATTCATATTCACAGGTACGAGAAGACTGTCACATTCAGCTTACACGGAAAGCCTACAAATGTGTGTTCATTTGTCAATTACGATTCAACTCGTAGCAAGAATCAGACTCAGTATTTTTCGTAAGATTCTCAGAGCACTTCACATCCGCAAGTTTATTAATTGTATCGATGAAAATAGGAAAATATATGAGATTTCTTAAACACTTCTTTACCGTAAAGCCCTCAAAGGAGGTGCCTTGATTCCCCGGGAAGGCTCTTGTTTAAAGGGAACTTGACTGAACCTGGTGCTGTTTGAACTCTACGAATTTTTTGTTCCCTTCCCTTGATTACAATAAATATATTCATTACTCAAAAAATACCCGTAGATAAGGGTTTTGGGTTTAAGGTAAGGTTCATCAGCAAACAGGACAAGTGTTTCCCTGACGCGGGTTTTAGATGATGAATCGCGGTTGGAGCTTTTGGTCATCTGACCGAAGCCTTCCACTGGCTTACCGGTCCACCCCTTTAAAAATTATGGTAATAGTTATAACCATTTAGCTATATATTCGCAGATAACGTCCTATTAGAAGGTAAAAAAAAAATATAGTTTACAGTAAGTACCAGAGAATGCAGTCACAGATAAAACGTGCTGGTATTCAATGATCAACTTGCCATATCTTCCAAAACAATGAAGACTATCAAGGAACACATACACAGAAGTGCATATAAGTTCGATTTTAATCCATATTTTATTGTTTACATTTTTCTTAATGACCCTCGTGCAGTCCATGACCTTTAAGCTTAATAATAAAGCTCGTAGTGTCATAAATTTAGCTTTTAAGTTCCCCTGCATCGCAAACACTTGTTGGGTGTAGAAATCTCCTTATTTTTTCTGTGGAGAAAGCACTTGGTACTCTGAGGGATAAACAATAAAGATACTGCATCAAGATACTGCATCAAGGTACTGCGTCAAGATACTGCAATCAAGATACTGCATCAAGATACTGCGTCAAGATACAGCATCAAGATACTGCATCAAATACTGCGTCAAGATACGCATCAAGATACTGCATCAGATACTGCATCAAGAATACTGCATCAAGATACTGCATTAAAAAATCTGCGTCAAGATACTGCGTCAAGATACTGCGTCAAGATACTGCATCAAGATACTGCATCAAGATACTGCGTCAAGATACTGCATCAAGATACTGCGTCAAGATACTGCATCAAGATACTGCGTCAAGATACTGCGTCAAGATATGCGTCAAGATACTGCATCAAGATACTGCATCAAAATACTGCGTCAAGAAACTGCATCAAGATACTGCATCAAGATACTGCGTAAAGATACTGCGTCAAGATACTGCATCAAGATACTGCATCAAGATACTGCGGTCAAGATACTGTATCAAGATACTGCATCAAGATACTGCATTAAAAACACTGCATCAAGATACTGCATCAAAAAACTGCATCAAGTACTGCGTCAAGATACTGCGTCAAGATACTGCGTCAAGATACGCATCAAGATACTCCCATCAAGATACTGCATCAAGATACTGCATCAAGATCTGCATCAAGATACTGCATCAGATACTGCTCAAGATACTGTATCAAGATACTGCATCAAGATACTGCATTAAGAAAACTGCATCAAGATACGCATCAAAATACTGCATCAAAATCTGCGTCAAAACTGCGTCAAGATACTGCGTCAAGATACTGCATCAAGATACTGCATCAAGATACTGCATCAAGATACTGCATCAAGAACTGCATCAAGATACTGCATCAAGACACTGCATCAAGATACTGCATCAAGATACTGCATCAAGTTTACTGCATCAAGATACTGCATCAAGATACTGCATCAAGATACTGCATCAAGACACTGCATCAAGATGGATCAAATTCAAGTGCAGTTTTCCCCATATGCAGATTTTTTTAAATCAAAATTGTTTGAATTATGACTACAAATAATGACGTTTAAAAAATTATTCAATATTAATATAATCTGTAACTCATAATATAACAAAATCTTTTTTAAAAAAAGCAGTCCAGTCAGTATTCGATATATTTTAAAATTCGAAAATACATTGTAAGTGATTTTAAAAGCTGCCTTTTTATTAACATAAAAATGTCAGGTCACATCCCACATGAGGAAACTGATCTATGTCACGGAACGTCCAGCCGCTGTGGTTCGTACGTTGGAAGCGTGCAGCCAGCAGTAACAGCCTGATTGATCAGGCCCTGACCACCATGAGGCCTGGTCACAGACCGGCCGCGGGGGCGTTGACCCCCTGGAACTCTCTCCAGGTAACATAAGGTAACTGATCTTTTTAGGGAACGTCCCACATGACGTGTATTCATTTACATTTGAGTTTTGACTACAGAATTTCCTCTCGTTGTTTACTGGCTTGTTGGGTTTTAATCTTTGACAAGTACCAGTCGATAAAAGATTTACTAACTCTTAATAATAACGGAATTTTGACCCTTATTTTATTGTACATTGTGCTACCCAGTATTTTTAATAAAGTGTATAAAAGTGCTTCAGTATTTTTTTTTTTATCCTACTGAATTGCTAAACCAGTTTTAATGACCGAGTGAACTACAGGTGTATCTGTAAACTAATTAGAATTTCTTTAGGTAATTTTAATGTATTGTAGTACGTTTTTTTTTTCTTTTTGATAATATTATAATTGTTTTTTCACTTTTCATAACTCTTATGCACTGGATCCTGTATATTTTATCAAGAATTATTCTAGAGTATGGATCTTTTATAATAAACAGAAAAATCACATGAAAGTGTCAGGTCACCTGCAATAAAGATCAACTGAGCAGGGGTCACCTTCACGTTATATTTATTAGCAAAATACACAATTATTTGTGAAAAACTGAAGCATTTTTTTTCCCCCCAAAGACCTTTGGGGAGAACGCGTGATGGTGTAACTCTATTTTTCTTGAGCTTCTCCGCTTCCCTGTGACTGGCGGCTATTTTTCTTTCTTTTTTTTTTTACGATGGGTCTGTCCCAGCACTTTTGTTTGTGAATCTTAGTGGAGAGGGGTGTAGGTGCGGGGAGTAAGGAGCATCCCACTGACTAGTGCCGCTTGTGGAGCTCGGGTAGCGTACCTGGGTAAAGGGGTTTGTAGGATCATTGAGAGCATCATCACAGACTGTTCTACTAGCTACTAGTGAAACAGGTTTTGATCCTGGGTGTAAGTTTTGGGGCTATATTCCAATGACTGGTGCCGCTAGTTCAGCTATTGGTGTATCTGAGTGTAGATACTAGGGCTGCTTGCCACTACCTGGTGTTGTTGGGCAAAGCTGGAGAAGAGAAAGGTGTTTATCTGGAGTTTATCTGGAGAGAGTTCCGGGGGTCAACGCCCCCGGGGCCCGGTCTGTGACCGGGCCTCCTTAGGTCAGGGGTCCCAGGATGCGACCCACACCAGTCGACTAACACCCAGGTACCCATTTTACTGATGGGGGAAAATAGACAACAGGTGGAAAGAAACACGTCCAATGTTTCTACTCTGCTGGGAATCGAACCCCGGCCCTCACCGTGTGAAGCGAGAGCGTTAACCACCAGGCCACCAGACCAGTGTTCTAGCAGTTCTCACATAATTTTGAAAATTTGATAAGTATAACTTACCTTCAATATACTCGGGGATGGGGGGACGTAGCCGTATATACAACCCTCAGAATCATTCATCCATGGAAGTCCCTTCGGTCTGGCAACATGTCCTCCTGTGAGTTTATGTTAATTTTAATAGCAGATTATCGTAATTATATACAATTCTTTTTTATTACGAGCTCTGTTTTATTTCAGTTTATGAAGTAATAATACACAAGCAACAATTACATTGATCTATGTTCAAATTTCAATATGCATTGTGCATCAATTATTCCCCCCAGTTTCCTGCCACGGAACTTAATATTGTGATGACCCGCCCCTAGACTTTTGGCTTAACCGTTCCACCCCCTTTTAAAAATTAGGGTTTTATTTTATTCTTATTGCCCAGTCCCACGTTCGAAATTATATAGAATTACTTTTTTTTATTATTTAAAAGGAAGTTCATTTCACTCTAGCTTTAATGGAACTACCGTCCTTGGGTGGGTAGGTCTCTTTTTATTTCCTCTCAATATTTATTTTTTTCTGTATGAGGCAATCAACTTTATCTTACATGGTCTTGGTAATAAATAATCATTATTGTGTACGAATCGAAAGCGCGCTGCCCTTTGAACAAACACCCCACACGCAAGCACTCAAATACACACACGGGGCCAGAAGCTAAGACTCGACCCCTGCAACCACAAATAGGTGAGTACACACACACACACACACACACACACACACACACAACACACACACACACACACACACACACACACACCACACACACACACACAAGATCAAGAGGTATGTGAGGAGTTCAACACGAGATTTAAGGAAGTATTTACAGTAGAGACAGGAAGGACTCTGGGGGACAGACCAGATGGGGACACCAGCAAGGAATACACCAACAAGTGATGGACGACAACATACAGATGAGGAGGAGGTGAAGAAACTGCTAAGGGACATCGATACCTCAAAGGCAATGGGACCGGACAACATCTCCCCGTGGGTCCTTAGAGAGGGAGCAGATATGTTGTGCGTGCCACTTGCCACAATCTTCAACACGTCCCTGGAAACTGGGCAACTACCTGAGGTATGGAAGACGGCAAATGTAGTTCCCATTTTTAAAAAAGGAGACAGAAAAGAGGCACTAAACTATAGACTGTGTCATTGACGTGTATAGTATGCAAAGTTATGGAGAAGATTATCAGGAGGAGAGTGGTGGAGCATCTGGAACGGAACAAGAGTATAAATGCCAACCAGCACGGATTCATGGAAGGCAAATCCTGTGTCACAAACCTTCTGGAATTTTATGATAAAATAACAGAAGTAAGACACGAGAGAGAGGGGTGGGTTGATTGCATCTTCTTGGACTGCAAGAAGGCCTTTGACACAGTTTCTCACAAGAGATTAGTGCAGAAGCTAGAGCATCAGGTGCATATAACAGGAAGGGCACTGCAATGGATCAGAGAATACCTGACAGGGAGGCAACAACGAGTCATGGTACGTAATGATGTATCACAGTGGGCACCTGTGACGAGCTGGCCCACAGGGGTCGGTCCTAGGACCAGTGCTATTTTTGGTATATGTGAACGACATGAGGAAGGGTTAGACTCAGAAGTGTCCCTGTTTGCAGATGATGTGAAGTTAATGAGGAGAATTAAATCAGATGAGGACCAAGCAGGACTTCAAAGAGACCTGGACAGACTGGACACCTGGTCCAGCAAATGGCTTCTCGAATTTAATCCTGCCAAATGCAAAGTCATGAAGATAGGGGAAGGGCACAGAAGACCACAGACGAGTATAGGCTAGGTGGCCAAAGACTGTAAACTTCACTCAAGGAGAAAGATCTTGGGGTGAGTATAACACCGAGCATGTCTCCGGAAGCACACATCAATCAGATAACTACTGCAGCATATGGGCGCCTGGCAAACCTGAGAACAGCATTCCGATACCTTAGTAAGGAATCGTTCAAGACACAGTACACCGTGTATGTCAGGCCCATACAGGAGTATGCAGCACCTGTTTGGAACCCGCACTTGATAAAGCACGTCAAGAAACTAGAGAAAGTACAAAGGTTTGCGACAAGGTTAGTTTCCAGAGCTAAGGGGAATGTCCTATGAAGAAAGATTAAGGGAAATCGGCCTGACGACACTGGAGGACAGGAGGGTCAGGGGAGACATGATAACGACATATAAAATACTGCGTGGAATAAACAAGGTGGACAAAGACAGGATGTTCCAGGGAGGGGACACAGAAACAAGAGGCCACAATTGGAAGTTGAAGACACAAATGAGTCAGAGAGATATTAGGAAGTATTTCTTCAGTCATAGAGTTGTCAGCAGTGGAATAGCCTAGAAAATGATGTAGTGGAGGCAGGAACCATACACAGTTTTAAGACGAGGTTTGATAAAGCTCATGGAGCGGGGAGAGAGAGGGCCCAGTAGCAACCGGTGAAGAGGCGGGGCCAGGAGCTAAGACTCGACCCCTGCAACCACAAATAGGTGAGTACACACATACACACTAGGTGAGTACACACACGCACACATATACGATAAGGCACTTGGAGCAGGGGAAAAAGTAGACCTAGTAGCGACCAGCGAAGTGGCGGGTCCAGGAGCTGTGATTCGACCCCTGCAACCACAGATAAGTGAGTACACATACACAGGAATAAGCATGACAACGAGGTACAGAAACATATTGAAGCTTAAGAATGATAAGGTAGTTCATTAACTAGAGAACAGAAAACTAGACATATGACAAGACTGGTTAATACCAACCCTTAGGATTGTTTATGATGATTAAAGATTTAACATCTCGGTATTGCAAAAATAGGGACCCCACATACGAGCTCAGAGATTTGGAGGAGCAAACTGCTTCAGCTAACTGTACGGAACATTCTAAAGTAACTTGTTAAAGAATGTATGAGTCAGAAGAAAGAGGAACCATGTTTTAACTTCCAGCGAGAGAAACATAGAGGAAATTGAATATGAAATATTCCTTAGAGAAAGTAATCACTTGTTGTGATGACGTTCTACTACCCTGTGAAAATGCAATTGAAAAAGGTGATTGTGAAGGAATGGGCATTTCTGGCTTAAGTACCGAAGGGTAAGAAGTTCGGGGGATGACACAGTCAGAAAATTACTGTAATTTCAGCAGGAATGCAAGTAAGAAACAGACAAGGTGTTTTAGTGTTTTATTAATATATTAGTAATAATAGGAAGAGAAATATTTCTTCCAGCTGACGGGGTAATAAATAAGACACTGGAAGACCCGATGGTTTCATTTGTCACTGTTGGAAAGACTCAGTCGAGGTTGTTCCACAGCCACACTAGAAAAAAATTACAATGAAGGATCAAGCCAACAACATAGAAAATAAACTGGAATATTTACAGATAGGTATACACTGGGCTTAATAGAAAGTTTCACGACTCACAAAATCGTAGTAACACTATTGCAGACAAACCACGGAACGGATTTCAGTCTTTTAATGAGAGAGCCATCACCAGAGATGTAAAAAATGGATAAATCAAGTAAATGTTTAAAATACGAAAACAACTAATGGTAAGTGGGAAATCCTGGAAAAAAATTGATATGTAAAAGGTCTCAGACCAGATGGAATATCACCATGAATATTGAGAGAGCTTATTTATTATGCAAACTACTCACACAGATCTTTAAGTAATTATTGACTACGTGTGGAAAGCAATACGACCGTAAGATAGCAAAACTGATATCAGTATTCAAGAAAGGTGACAGGCAAGAATCTATGAATTACAAAACGTCTCTCTACATAGCCTAACGTCCGAATTGCGAGAAAAATTATAAAGCACAGGCTTACTGAACTTTTTGAAACGCTAAATTCTTCACATAAAGCCAGCATTGATTAAAAATGAAGGAAAATGTATTACAAATCTAGCAACGACAAATTATAGAGTAACGGAAGTCAGATAGAAGAAACGTAGAGACAGACAGCATAGTCTTAGACTGTGTGAAGTCTTTGCCTATTGTGTCCACATAGAAAACTATGCAAATTGGAGAAACAATCTTGGATAAAATCAAAAGTATCAACATAGCTAAGGGAAATATTTGAACATTAGTAAATAAAAATACATTGTGAGCGGTTGAAACACAGGATGGAACGTATAACTGGCGGGTTCCATAAGGATCTGTGCTGGATTCTATGCTGTTCCTATGACATATTAATGACGTGTTTATATGATACCTATGTATCATTGCGAATGATGTTTAAATTATGAGGATAATACTAGCTGAATTGTATCTCCTCCAGGTATCTCCTACCTTAATAAACTACTTTTCTTGGGTTAAACTCAGGTAACTCTTGATGAGAGTAAGACACATGTGCAACATCTGGGTATCTTATTGTAGACGTTTCGCCATCCAGTGGCTTTATCAGTACAATTCTAGGACATAACTTGAAGACAGTAGAACTATGTACAGAAGATGAGGTAATCAGTCCCTCAACCTAGGAGTAGTGCGAACAGCACCATAGGTGCTGTTCGCACCTACTCTAGTGTTGAGGGACTGATTACCTCATCTTCTGTACATAGTTCTACTGTCTTCAAGTTATTCCTAGAATTGTATTGATAAAGCCACTGGATGGCGAAACGTCTACAATAAAAGATACCCAGATGTTGCACATGTGTCTTACTCTCATCTTGTCGGTATTATATACCATTCGTACACAATCAGGTAACTCTTATTCAGAATATTCATGATATCTTCCTGGAGATCTCTTTCATCCAATTCAGCTAGTATTACCGCAATATTAAGATAGGAGATACCTGGAGGTATCTCCTACCTTAATATTGCGAATATTGCGAATGATTACTGGTAGGTATCTCCTACCTTAATGTTGTGAATATTGCGAATGATTACTGGTAAGTATCTCCTACCTTAATATTGCGAATATTGCGAATGATTACTGGTAGGTATCTATTACCTTAATGTTGTGAATATTGCGAATGATTACTGGTAGGTATCTCCTACCTTAATATTGCGAATATTGCGAATGATTACTGGTAGGTATCTCCTACCTTATTATTGCGAATGATTACTGGAGACAACAGTGAAGGCTG